CGCCCCCCGCGTCCGCCTGCCGCCCGCCTGGGCCGCCCAGAGCACGCCATTGGGCCTCGCTCCCGGGGTCCCGCGCGCCGGCCGTGCTGATTGGCTGCTGGGGCTTCATTCACTGCCCCCCTACCGTCCGCGTACACACTCACGCCCCGGGGGCGCGGCCGCCACGTGGGGAGTGGCGCGGGGGTGGCACAGGGACGACTCCCCCGCTCATCCTGGCTGCGTGGGCCCCGCTTTTCCCCCGCGCTGGAGACTCCGAGCCCGGCGGGTCCCACACTCCACGCGAGCTGAATTCCCGCCCGTCTTCTGCAGGGGCGGCCGGAGGCGGCGGCGAGGATGGCGGGCTCCGGGAGGCGCTCGGGCTCCGAGAAGCAGCTCCGCCCCGCGCTCCTCTCTCCGCAGTGCCGCTGCCGGCGGGCCGGGATTCCCGCGGGTCTCGGGCGGCTGCGAGCGAGGGGCGGCGCGGGTCCCCAGCTCGGTTCCAGCGCGGCTGCTCACCCCGGCCGCCTCGCGTCCCGCGCCTTCCAGCGGGCAGAGAGCTCTCCTCTGCGCGCCTCCCCGGCCCGTCTTGTTTTCCTTCTTCTCCCGCTAGACCCAGCGCAGCAACTCCGCCGACCTCCGCGGCCCTGAGGTCGCGTCGGGCGCGGGCAGAGTCACATCCGGCTTCAAGTCTGGCGCAGGCTGCCCTTCTCCCGGGCACCGCGACCCAGGTGAGTACCGCGCGGGCGGCTCGGGGCCGGCACGGCCGGCGGCAGTGATGCTGCGGGGAGTCGGGAGCTCCTGTAACCAGGCCGCGTTCCGGAGGTTCCAGAGTGAGAGAACCTTGAGGTGGAGGAGGCTCTGGGGAAGACGCCACCGACAGGGGTGGTGGACATGCTGGGCCCACAGGTATCTGTCCCAGGCCACTGCCGCCTTCTCGCTCCTTCACCTCTCAGCCTGAAGGGCTCATTGGCCGGGGTCATGCCCCGGAGAAAGTTGCTCTAGGTGAGGAGTGGCACGGACTTGGGGAAGGGCGCCTGGCACTTTAGAAATCCAGCTGGCAGGCCGGGAGCTGTCCAGCCTCGCATGGCGTCCTGGGCTGGAGTTTAACCCGACTTGCCTGGGGCTACTGAAAAGGGAATTGAGATTGAGGAGGCCTTGTTGGAAAAATGAGGCGTGCAATTCGGATACCTCCTCACCCCTCTCTTTGAGGACTCCCTGAAGGGTTCTGAGTGGACTGAGACCCCAGCAGCAGCTCTTCTGTGCCTCTAGCCCACATTGGGCTGAAGCTGAGCAGAGCGAGTGGTAGCTTCCACTCTTCCCCACACTGAGGCTTGGCTCCCAGGGAGTCCTCCAGCTGCCAGCCCACTTCTTTTCTCCCCCTGATCTTGCCTCTGATAGATTCATAGATTCCAGGGCCCTGGGGTCCCAGATCACAGGACTGAGCAGCTGGGCCCTCCTGGGCAAGTCAAGACTGTGGAAGACAGCCTCAGTGTATGAAGAACAGTGATGGGGACTCAGGTGGCAGCTGCAGTGGGATGGTCCCAAGGGTGGCTGGGGCAGAATCGGCAGTGACAAGGGTCACCCTGGGCACAGACTGTGCTCACCCAGGCCCTGAACACACTAGGACCAGCCTCTGGCTAGCCCCCAGGGGATGGAGTAGGACAGGGCAGGGTCCTTGTCTGTCCGTTGGCCACTGTCTTGAGCAGGCTCCTTAGTACCACCCTTGCTGCAAGAGCTGTGACGGAGCCTTGTGTCTGAACCTAGCTAGGGATGCTGGGCTTTCCTGGACTCTGGCCCAGGAAGTGGTCACTTTGAGGCAGCCCAGGACCTCCTGGTCCACTTGCCTTCCTGGCCCCTCCCCCAGGCCCAGGAGGTAGGACCAAGGCTGGGAATCCTGTAGTGAAGTCTCCTCTCATGCCAGCCCTAACAAGGCCTGCATGAAATTGAAGCTTGGGCTGTCATGCCTGACCTGCCACTATCATCCTGGGCAAGAATAACTCTGGTCCCGTCTCTCTATCTCTTGGTTTTCTTACCTGTAAACTGGAAATAACAGTACCATAGGCAGCCCACCTGTCTCACTAAGGTAAGTCAGAGGGTGATACGAGATAATGGAGGTGAAAAGCTCTCAGAAAGGGCTTTTACTCTGGTTGTTTCTATTGTTAGCGCCCAGTGAATGGGCAAGTTACTCCCCCTCTCTAACTAAATCTCAGTTTCCTCATCCATCGAGTTGGGTTGTAGAGGTTTGGACCAGGTGACCTCTCAGGCCCTTCCAGCTCTGGTGGCCTGTGATTCTATGAATCTATCTCAGTTTCTGTTGGAGGAAGGGAAATACCTGGACAGTGGACAGGTGTGATATCCAGTCTTTGGAATTGTCACTGAGACTTGAAGAATGAAGACCCATGGGTGCTTTCTCAAGTGCTTTTCATTCATCATTTTACCTGCACCTCTTGGCCCTGTGAAAGAGCAATGAGATTGTTACCCCTGGTGCATAGATGAAGGAGCTGAGGCTTGTCTGAGGGTGCAGAACCTGTGAAGGTCCCACTCCTCCTTGTTCTCCCCGTTGCTGTGGGATGGGGAAGGATGTCTGTGGAGGCAGCGGCTTTGGCTGTCACAGCAGAGAGAGCCCACTGCCCTATCTCTGATAGCTCTCTGAGGGTTGGCCAGGGCCAGCTGGTGCTCCTGAAGCTGAGTTCCCAGGTCTGTGCTGAATGGAGAGGTGTCTGCAGCAAAGCCAGGCTCCTAGGTTGCTAGTTTGTCAGCCAGCAAACCTCAGTCCCAGTCCCATCATCCCTGTTAGCAGCCCCGTGACTTGGTGCTAGTTGCTTTGCCTGTCGAAGCCTCAGTTTCTGCATCTTAAAATGGAGACGGGAATGCCTGCTTCTCAGGATTACTCTGAAGCTCCAAGGAGGAAATGAAATACGTAATGTTTCGTTCCTCTTAATGTTAAACGCTGCCCCGGGGTGAGCAGCAGTGTGAACTAGGAAAGGATAACATTCCTTTCTCTGCTTTGGAAGTTTTAGACCCTCTACAGTGATATGGGTTTGGTCTTGAGTCAAAATTTTCTTGTATTTGAGAGTTAAGTTTTCCCAAGGAAGTCTTGACATCTTCTTTGCTCTTGTTCCCAGAGATTCTGTGTGGGATGCTGAGGGCGGTGACATGGCTATTGGCAGAGACACCTGCTGCAGAACAGCCCCTCTCTCCAGGAGCCCTATCTTCACAGACCCTGGGGAGAACTTGGAATACGGACATCAGACACCCACCTGACCCACGCAGACACCGAATAGTTTAGGCATTCACGCTCACACGCAACACTCAGATATATATGTGCAATTTACCCAGGGACAAACACAGATTCACAATAGGAATGCATGCACTCGCACCATTAGGTCGGATATTCACAGTCATAGAAATCAACACACAATGTTAAAAACAGGCATGTGTCTAAGTGGGAACATACGCAGAGCCCACACGTAGGCTGAAATAGGCTCAAGTAGGCATTCCTCCAGCGACATAGAAATACACGAGACCTACAGTGGCCCTTGGAGTCACACGTGTGGAGGCTCTCGGCTGGCATATCAATTCACATGAATAAGCACACCCTCATGTTCACACACATGAGCACACAGAGCTAGCCATGCACACTCTGCCACCCAATGCACAGATACAAAGAGGCCTGCCCCATACATCACATACACACACACATATACACTTATACAGTGTAGGAACTAACATGTCTGCACAAGGGATCAGAAAGCAGAGGAGGGGGCCGTGCCCAGCCCAGAGTTTGGTCCACGCTGTTTGGCAGCAGCGCTAGTCCCAAGGAAGCAGAAAAGCCCTTTCTTTTCATATTTTTTTTCACTCTCCTTGTCTGTGGAGGGCAGCTCCCAGCCAGGCTGCCGCCAGTCTCAGAGGCTCCGGGGCCTCCCTCCCCAGTGGGGCCCCTGCCCAGCCCGCCCCCAGGCCAGGAGCTGCCCGGGCTTTCCCAGAGTGGCGCAGCCTCCTCCAGGCTCTGGAGTGTGACCGAGCGCCTGCTCATTTGACACAGGTCACCGAGCCTCCAGCAGATGGGGCCCTCGCTGTGGGGGGTCTCCGAGCCAGAGGGGCTGCAGGGGGAGGCTCTGCAGGGGGAGATGAATAGCAGCTACACAAACTCCAGCCCCACATACCCTCTCTGCAGAGCCCCAGGTAACAGACACAAGCCTCTGCAATCTACATTCACACTCCCTCCTGAAAGATTCAGACATGGCCTCGAGAACACAACCACACTCGCCATCAGCACCCTCGTGGCCACATATGCACTGTAGTATTCCAGACACACGTCCCAGACGGGTGAAGCTACACAATGGCACACCGAGCAAGATTTGGGAGGGAGGAAGAGGGGGAAGCTGGGTCTGGCTGCTTTTCTCCTTTGGGCTCTGAGCCTCTGCGCCGTGTCTTGTCTGTCGGTCCGTGGGTACTCAGAGTCTAGTAAGCACTGAGAGCAGCTGCAGCTGCAGACCTACAGCCTTGTCAGTGCTGGGGGAAGACAGGCTCTAGGACATTCCACCTGGATTTGTTAAAGTCAGGAGTGCTGAGAAGAGCTAAAGGGAGGCGGGATCGGGGCTCATGGGGAGGGCTGCTGGAGGAGCTGGTGTCTTAGGACGCCCTCCTCTGTGCACAGGCTCTGAGTCTTTGGGGGGCCAGCATGCAGGCAGCACTCAGCCCATCGCCTTTCCCTTCTGCCTGTCTCCTCACACCCTAGATCCTGTTATCAGAGTGTCAGGGCCTGGGTTCCACTTTGGCTCAGACTCAGGCCCACTGGATGACATTGGACCAGTCTCAGCCTCCTAATTTCTGGGAACCTCAGTATCCTCATCTGTAAGCCGGGCAGGATGGTCTCTGTTGGGTTCTTGTGAAGGCGAGATGAGATCACTGCCCAGATGGAAACCTGGAGAGGAAAAGTGTGGCTTGGTTCTTCTCCCTGGCTGCCTGGGGTGAGGAAGAGGCTGTGTGGGCAGAGCAGAACCTGCCTGCTCCCCCAACCAGTTCTTGCTAAGCGGTGTCAGGAGTGACCACGCCCAGACCCTGCTCATTCTGGGCTGGAATTTGTGTTTGCCTGAAGAGTCTGTCAGGGTTCTGGCTGTCACACAGTCCCACCTGGGGAGGGCCAGGGGCATCTTGTCCATTCACTGCCTCGTGCAAGTTGTGGCAGCTGGGCAGATTCAGAGTGCTCACCACCGTCCAGAAAGCTCTCCCACAGGAGCTGGGATCACTGTTCTGAGGTCTTGAGACCCTACCTCCTCCCCTATAAGGTGTCCTCCAGGTGTCCTACCTCTTCTGTCCTTCCTGTGCTGGCAGGAGCCTAGCATAGAGGAGTGGAGGGCTGGGAGGTGCGCTGCTGCCTCTGGTAAGGGAGAAAGAAGCGGTCTCGCTTACTGAATCTAATGTTCCCCGTCTCTCAGTCTTGGTGAAGGGAAGGAGAGACGGAAGGGGAAATCTCTCTTAGGGATGAACTTTTCTTTGCATTTTCTTTTCCTGCCTCAGCCCATAGGCCTATGGGTGGGGGTGGGGGTCCTCCCACTGCATCAGTAGAATATTCAAATCAGGGGTGGTCAATTGCTCTTGAAATTTGCTTTAATTTTTAGCAGAATGGCAGCCTTGGAGCTGGTGTTAATGCCCACAATCCGGTTATGCAGAACACGCTCTCTGCAAATCGGTAAATCATTAGCAGGGATTAATCACTCTGAAAGGCTGGGGCTGGGTTTGAGTCTCTCTCTCTCTTTTTTTTTTTTTTTTAACACACTTTTTATCTGGATGGCTGCAAAATTCACCACTACAGCGTGGGGTGGGAGCAGCAAATGATGATTTAAGTCCTTGTCACCATCATTAGAAGAGCGAGATGCCTTCCTGGGCCTGGTGTTGGCTTTGTGGCCTGACTGAGGGTGGGAGGTGGGCAGCTTGGGTAGGTGGAAGGGAGAGTGGGGAGTCCTCTTGCATTTGT